TTTCGTCCCCTCCCCTTTCACAGGCACTCGTGGTGTGCCCATACAATTCTCTCAGCCATCAGGTGGAAAGTGTGACAGAAGAGGTGTTGACCACCTTGGCCTTAACGGAGAGGAGAATGGGTTGTTTTCCTTGGATATACTTTTACGACTTCTTGATAGGTAAGGAAATGGACTGCAACACCATCGCAGAGAGGGAGAGAGGCCGACCTTAAACCACCACCAGTACTTCCTAAAGGTGAGCCCATTAACGAGCCACAATTTTAGGAAACGTACGGGCCACTACAGGAGCGCCCAAATTCATCCGACTAGAAACGTTTCTACTCTATTTTTTTCCACGGGCGGATAGCTGGGCCAAGTACTGGTGGTTTAAGGGGGGGCAAGGGGGGAAGACACCTTGGTTTTCTTGGCTGGTTTGGAGGCAAGATCAGAACGTGCCGGGATCCGTCTTTAATCCTGCAAGCCACAACAGCCGGAGCTCCTCACCACTGCAACCATACCAGGGTGGGAGCCACACCAGTTTTGACATCCACCCCACCTCTGCAGAATGGAGCCATACCAGTTGTGACACCTGCCTGCCCCACACTGCACGACGGTTGTAGTATCCTCGCTCCCTGAACACACTTGACACCATGACACGTTTTCCATACAATCATGGCCATACAATCTGCACCAGCGTCTTACCAAGTGCGTTTTTCTGTCCAGTTATGGCACTAAGGACTGATAAGTACTAGCCAAGATTTATCCACAACCCTGCACAGACGCGAACGGGTGATCTCAGTCATAAGGGCTGGATGTCTGAATTACTTACTCCAGCCATGGAGAGGTGTGCAAAAATGGAGCCTCCTTGGTTGCGACATCCAACCCACACCCCTAAACGGTTGTAGTACTACCTTTTTCCCCCGAATAAAACGTTCCGCGATTTTTGCTCCATCTGGACTGAAAAGTGAGCCAAATATACCGTTATAGTGACCGTACGTTCCATTCGGGGGAAGACGGTACTCTTTCTCACTCAACAATGGGGTTGACACCCATGAGACCTTCTGTGGGCATGGCCTTTTCACTCCATTTGCATGGCCCTCTGTAGATGCTGTGCCCACTGCAATCCAAGTACAATCTCCTGACTGGTTACTGCACTGAGTGAGTACTGACCAGTCCTTACCAGCCTCTGTCCACAGCCTTGCAAAGAATTGAACCGGTGATATCAGCCATAACAGCCGGATGTCTTAACCACTGCAACCACGATGACAGCGTGTTTAACAGTGGAGCCATGCTGACCATGGCATCGACACCAACCTTGCACGGCTGCAGTACTCTCACTCACTCACTCACTCAATGCACTAGACACCCATGAGACCTTGCGTAGCCATGCCCACACTCAACCTGCATAATCCTCTGTAACTACACCAGCCACCGCAATCCAACCAAGTCCGACTTCCTTGCCGGTCACCGTACTAAGTACTGATTAGTACTTGGAACTGCTCTAACAAGAAGAAAGAGCCTGTTATTTTTCCATACAGATTTAAAAAAAGACTCTATCTTAGTCCGATTCAGGCTCGAAAAAGAAAAGAAAAAAACTTACTGTAGTAGGTAAGGAACCAAAAAGCACTCAAGGTGGATGAGAATTTGTGGCAGAGATTGGACGAATATTGTTTACTCTTCTCTTAATTGTAAAAATGAAAATCCAGCGAGAGCATGTTTCGTTGCCCTTTTTTTTAGCTGAATTGTTTTTTCCTTTGGCTGTTTTCGTTTCACTTCAAAAAAAGTTGCTGTATGCCAAATCTGGTGTCTTTTGGAACATTGGGAGGTCCTCTGCTGACAACTCTGAAGCCCCACCCGTTGGGGCATGATCACACTTCAATCCGCGCATGACCATTGGAGTGTTCCAAGGCCACCACAGGCAGCAACTACAGTAGGTGACAGGTACACGGCCCACCAAAATTGGTCGAGTGACCACAAGCCTGTGAGAGGTACAGTCCTCGCCAAAATGGGTGGGTGACCGTAACAAGTCTGTGACAGGGTGCGCGGTGCTTACAAGTATGACGCACTACCAGGATCTCGTCAATTTCGATAGTTGATGACTAGTGCAGCAAGGCCACTACCGTCTTCCCCCGAACACAACGCATCGGACTGGAAAGTTAGCCGCTTGTATATGTTCATTATCAGGGTGCGTTATGTTTGGGGGAAGAAGACGGTAGCGGCTGCCAACGGCAGCTTGTATCAGTGTATCACTCATCTGAGAAGTTGTGGCCGCTTGTATATGTTCATTATCAGGGTGCGTTATGTTTGGGGGGAGAAGAGCTTGTATCAGTGTATCTATCACTCATCTGAGAAGTTGTGGTACCACTTGCTTGCGGAGTCTTCGAGTATTTGCGTTGGTAGGCTCACAGAGAGCCGTGGCTTCGTTGTGAGAAATATCTAGGAAAGGCACTACTAGATATCAGATTATTTGTTGAACACAACTCTGTGAACTGTGGAACAATCTGATGATGATGAGTTCCACAGACCCTTCCTTCGATTCTGTTCACCCACAAAAAGAAGAGACTTGTACACCAACCAAATCTGCTTAGTTCCAGATATGAATCCCACAAAAGAGAAGAGAGGTGTAGAACAATTCTGCTAGTTCCACAAACCCTTCCTTTGATTCTATTCGCCCGCAAAAGAGAAGAACTAACGTATTTAGGAAAAGCAGAAGATTCACTCTTAGTGAAGAGGGTGAAAAAAATGAAAAGCAGCGCTCTCTCTCTCTCTCTCTCTCTCTCTCTCTCTCTCTCTCTCTCTCTCTCTCTCTCTCTCTCTCTCTCTCTCTCTCTC